ACAAAAAATAAACCAAAAAAGGGTTTAGTTTGTAAAAAGCATTAGCAGAAATTAATTTGTTGAAAATTTTATGATAAATTATTGTTATATAAAAACTAGGGGGCCCAAACCCGTAAGTGTAAATTTTCGGAAGCACAATTGAAAGAAAAATTTTCTATTTTGCATGCCCAATATACTGTAGCCCAAACATCAGCCCATACATAGCTAGGTTTATAGTTACTAAGAATTGAATATAAGGCTGTGTATGTGGTGGTACTAGTATAAACCAATAAAGGTGTGCCTAAAATTTGTTCATGGTGGCCATTGTCATCATTAAATACCAATTTGCCAATTGCTTGTACGTTCTGAGAAGTACTAACCGTAATATTTAAATATGTATATCGATTATCAACATGGGGACATCTTTCTCCATTCTGTGGTTCATCAAATTCTACCCAAGAGGCAGATATAATTTGAGCACCACAAGCTATGAAAAGAAAACTATTAAATTTTTCAAGATTTTATGAACAACAATAAATAAAGATTTGGTTTAAAATTAACATACCACCAAATGTATTATTACAACCTTGGCCCTCAAACAAAGAAGCATAATCATAAGGTTCCTTACAATCATTTTCCGCCTCAACATACATAACGAATAAAAATACAAGCAAAGTAAATGAAACAATATTTTTCGGATTCATGATTGTTATGTTCAAATTTCTATGTGCTATGAATTTATTATGTTTATTAATATTATGATTGTTAAAATTATATTTAACTTTCCGTGTGTTTATATATATTTTTTACTGAAGAAAATCATTTCTTGTATTAACCATTTTCGTAATTTCGAACTAATAGTACGGTGTGACAGGCTCTGCGGCGATAGTTATTTTTTTTTATATATACATAGTTACTCTATTTTTATTTTATATATTATCGTTTCTGGCTGTGAATTGTTTTCCTTTTTTAGAAAAAGCTAGTTAGTACTTGTTAGAAAATTAGTAAGTGGAAGAAAATCCTTACCGTAATGGTAAAATTCACTTTAGTAGATTTAGTGGATTTCGCGAATTTAGTGGATTTCGCGAATTTAGTGGATTTAGCGAATTTGTCACTCGACCCCAGGTCATACGATATAAACGCAACCACAACTACGAACACTATCGGGATATTGCCCTACTGCTCACGTGGTCTACAGCTGGTCCTATAGTATCGTACAACTCCTATCTACTCTTTGACATCCGATTTGCTCAATCGGGCTATCAATTACCCTCTTGACATCCGGGCGGCTAACCCGGGCTGTCAAAACTACTTCAAGAAACACCAAACTCAATTCTCTCATCCATTTAACATTCTGCCGCCAGTAGTGGAGGGTGGGCGGGTACTTCGACAAAGCTAGACATCCGTCGAGCTAGCAGCAGAAACAAAAGAGGAGGAACAAAACCCTCCCACACTTCACTTAAGTAGACTTTACACATTACCTCATACTTACGACCTACTAACGTAACAAATCAATCATACTCATAACCAACCTAATCGCTCATACTTACATCACCACTGATCAAAAGGCTATGTCATGGGAAAATGGGTGATCTCGTGACAAATGAATGCCCCGTGACTTCGTTCACGGCATTTCATTTAGCGAATTTAGTCGCTTTAGTGGTTTTTGCGCTTTTCGAGAATTATGGCTTTATCTAGATAATTTATATTGTATAGAGTAACGATGTAAAACTATAAAAGAGGTGCTTATTCGCCTTGCAAATAAAATAACTTCGGTTGAGTTCAAAAGCTCTAAGTTAAAGAAATCCGAGTATTTAACTTACGACTCACCTTAATATTGGTAGAACTTGTGAGAGTTCAAGGTTTTAAGTCAAAGAAATCAGAATATTTGACTTGTGTTTCACTCTTATAGTATAGAACCCGGTTGAGTTCGAAGTTCCAAGTTAAAGAAATTAGAGTATTTAACTTGAGAGTAGTAAGTTCTTTAAGTAGAGGCGTTTGTTCTACTACCCCCCCCGATAAGTAAAATCCCGTAACCACGAAAGGAATTCGTGACAAAATCCCGTGATTCTGAATAAGGAGATTCGTGACGTAATCAAGAGCTCTAATCCGGCACTATCGCTAAGAATCCAATTCACCCTGGTTACTCGGACCAAGTCTTTCCACGCCTCGATCGTCGCCTTACCACTACTAAAGGTTTGGTTTTATTAGTTGTGGTGTTCTGGTTAGAGTAGTGTAGTTAGTTTTAGTATTGTGTTTAGTAGTGTGTATTGTGGTGTCATCCAGAACCAAAGGATTATTTCGCCTTTTACAACGGGTAAATTTTCAAGGTTTGTACTATAGTATTATTACAAATACAGTGCTAATCAAGATTTTTGATATAAAAACTAGAAAAGACATCCCTAGATAGACCGGGTTTACATATTTATCGTAGACCTAACTGCATGTAACATTAAAAAACTTTATTGATTATCATTGCATAATATCTAAAATGCCGAAATATTATCACACGGTAGACGATCATTCGCAGAGTAAAAAATTATTTCCGGATCTTTTTTTTTTTTGAATGTAGTTGCAAATCAATACGTATTGATGGCTCATTTGTTTGTTTATTTTACAGCTGATTTGATGATCATCGCAAATTTCGATAAGTACAGAATTATTTTCGGTAATAAAAATGTAGTTTCAATAATAAGATTTTCATCCGATATAAGATTATACCGAAGTGATATACTGTTATAACCAGGGGAGAGACTTTGTACCAACGTAGCCAATTCAGTTCAGGGTTATAAGCATTAAAGGGAAGGAACCAAGTATTTATTATATTTATATAGAACACTGAAAGTATCCAAAAACCTACAACTGACAGATGAGCCTTCTCTAT